ACTAAAAATGTTTTTCGTTCGTTGAGCAAAGAGAAGAGTTTGAATTTCTAATGGTGGGGTACCTCTTCTAATTTTCTAAGACTGGTCAATAGGAAAGTCCTATGGCTAGACCTAGGCTACTAAAGAAGTTTTCTAGACCTCAACCAAAAGTGAGGTCAACAATTACATTCCCCTCCTTAACATCAATAATGACTTTGCTAATCGTTAAGAAAGGTCTTCCTATAATCATATACAATCCTTATCAGCTTTAAAATCCTAGATTACAAAATAATCGAGAACATAAATCTTTTCACAGTAATGGTTAGGCTTTCCACCATGCCTAAGGGGTGAGCCACATATTAGTCTGCTAACTAGAGGGTCAAATCGGCAGGCTTTATTTCTCCTCTCCCCCGTTGTGTGAAAATGTTTAGAGGTATGAGATTGACACTAGCCCCTAGATCACATAGTGCCTTTTCACTAAACTCTATTTCTATGACATATGGGATGGTAAAACTACAAGGTTCCTTGTTGAACTTTTGCAGCTTTTGAGGGAATGGAGGTGAAAATCTTTCTATCGGGTCAATTTGGATTGCAGATGACACTTTTCCTAACATATGTCTCAAAACTACATTAGCTTCTAGTTGGTAAGCTTCCTTTTATACTCTAGCCCCTGATTCCTAACACCTTGCACTGCTCTAAATTTTGATCTTTTTGATTTACTTTGATATTGCTTATCAGTGCTTATGAGGGTCTATTGTTTATTATGTTCGCCAACTGTCCTAGTTGTGTTTCCAAATTTTATGGTTACTACCTGGCTGTGTAAAGTGTTCCCCAATTGAATGATTAATTTCCTGATAGACGGTTTCTTTTGGTTTTGGGAACTAGCCTGGAATCTTGGTGGGTATTGTGGTTTCTGGGGTTGTTTTCCTGGGTTTTGCCAATTACCTATGTAGTTGCTTTGATTGTTCCCTTATTTCTGATTGTGGTTATTGCAAGATAAATTTAGATGTTTCCTTCAGCCCAAGTTATAGGCGTTAGAATATGGGTTATGCCCGTAATTTCATATGACATTTACATATTCTAAGGTAGAGATATTAGGATCTATCGTCGGTCCTTGAATTAACCCATCATTGGGTGACAGTCCATGCAACATATTCATCCCAAAATTATTTAATCTTTAGAAATTACAACCACTTTGGTAGCTAGGATAGCTAAGACATTAGATTCATGGACACTGACTACTTTCTGGGGTGTCACTGTTTCAACGATCCATTAAAAATTATTGTTGGTCATTTATTTTATTAATTGGTAGGCTTGACAAGAGTGTTCCTCTTCTCGCGATATCTATTACGAATCTTAGGGAACCTAACAAACCATTGTAAAAAGTTTGAATGATTAGTCAATCAGATATAACATGATGTGAGCATCTCATAAGCAGTTCTTTGAACCTCTCCCATGCCTCATAAGTGGATTCTCCATCAATTTAAGTGAATGAGGTGATGTCATTCCTAAGTTTTGTAGTTTTAGATAAATGAAAGTATTTGGCAAGAAATTTTTGTGTTAAGTCATTTTAGGTTGTGATTGATACTAGGGCAAGAAAATTAAGCATAACTTAGCCTTATCTCTTAAGGAAAAAATAAAAAGCCACAGTTTAACAACATCACTGGAGACACCGTTGTACCATAAGGTGGCACACAATTTAAGAAAATTGCCCAGGTGAAGGTTGGGGTCTTCAGTGGCAAGTTGCTCAAAGTGATTGTTTTGAACCATTTAAATTATAACAGGATGCAACTAAAAAATGTTAGCCTCAACATTAGAGCAATTGATGCTCATGTGAATCTCTTCAGCAAAAGTGTTGAAATAGTCTCTAAGTGGTTTCATTGTGGGTGAGTTAGGGTTAGCCATCTCAACAGGTGATTCAGAAGTCAAGTGTGATCTCCTAAACTTCTAAATGTGTGATCAATCTTAGGTTCAAAAGGAGTGAGGTCAGCCTTAGCTCCCTCAAACATAAAGAAGATAAGTTAACAATCATTCATGCAATAAACAACACACTAACTCACATAGTTATGCCAACAAGCTAACATGCAAATGTAACACACACTATGCGAAACAAAAACAAAAAAATAAATTAACAATAAAATATTTTTGACCTTTTGATTTTATTTTTAGTTTTTTTAAACTATTTAGCATCTGCAAAGAGAACAAAAATAATACAATTGTAAGAATTGAAAGAAAAAGCCACAAAAAAAATGTTAAACGCAGATATTAAAATTTTCAACTAAAGTATTCCCAACAACAAAAACAAATATTAATGTATTTCTCTAGTAACGGTGCCAAATAACTTGACGTACCAAAACTTGCTGGTAGGGATGTAAAAAGAACAAGTTATTTGCGAACAGTTTGTGTTTGACTCGACAGGGAGTACGCGTTTGATTTATTCGATAAACAAATGAGACGAACACTAAAAATGTTTTTCGTTCGGTTTGTTAAATGAACCGAAAACGAACAATGATGTGTTTGTTCACGTACGAATCATTATTATTTAAAATATAAAATAATTTAAAATAGTTCTATATAAAAAATTATGATATTTTATTAAATTATTAATAGCAATAATACTTTATTAGTATTGGTTATATTAATATAAATATTGTATATATATATACATAAGTTATATAATATTTGAAACCCTAAACACTCTAATTCTGACCAATCGGCCTCGCCTCACCCTTCCCCTCTCTCTCGAAAGCTTTCGGGTTTGGGCCGTTCGCCCGCCTCTCCCTCTTCCAAGCCTTCTCTTTCTCCTCTGAAAATCACGAAAAGCTTCCACTCTTAGGGAAAAAATAAAAAATCACAGTTTAACAACATCACTGGAGACACCGTTGTACCATAAGGTGGCACATAATTTAAGAAAATTGCCCAAATGAAGAATGGAGTCTTCAGTGGCAAGTTGCTCAAAGTGATTGTATTGAACTATTTAAATTATAACAGGATGCAACTAAAAAATGTTAGCCTCAACATTAGAGCAATTGATGCTCATGTGAATCTCTTCAGCAAAAGTGTTGAAATAGTCTCTAAGTGGTTTCATTGTGGGTGAGTTAGGGTTAGCCATCTCAACAGGTGATTCAGAAGTCAAGTGTGATCTCCTAAACTTCTAAACGTGCAATCAATTTTAGGTTCAAAAGGAGCGAGGTCAGCCTCAGCTCCCTCAAACATAAATAAGATAAGTTAACAATCATTCATGCAATAAAGAACACACTAACTCACATAGTTATGCCAACAAACTAACATGCACATGTAACACACACTATGCGAAACAAAAACAAAAAATAAATTAACAATAAAATATTTTTTGCCTTTTGATTTTTTTTTTTAGTTTTTTTAAATTATTTAACATCTGCAATGAGAACAAAAATAATACAATTGTAAGAATTGAAAGAAAAGGTCACAAAAAAAAAAAAAGCCACAAAAAAAATGTTAAACGCAGATATTAAAATTTTCAACTAAAGTATTCCCAACAACAAAAACAAATATTAATGTATTTCTCTAGTAACGGTGCCAAATAACTTCTTGACGTACCAAAAACTTGCTGGTAGGGATGTAAAAAGAACAAGTTATTTGCGAACAGTTTGTGTTTGACTCGACAGGGAGCACGCGTTTGATTTATTCGATAAACAAATGAGACGAACACTAAAAATGTTTTTCGTTCGGTTTGTTAAATGAACCGAAAACGAACAATGATGTGTTTGTTCACGTACGAATCATTATTATTTAAAATATAAAATAATTTAAAATAGTTCTATATAAAAAATTATGATATTTTATTAAATTATTAATAGCAATAATACTTTATTAGTATTGGTTATATTAATATACATATTATATATTTATATATATAAGTTATATAATATTCGAAATCCTAAACACCCTAATTCTAACCAACCGGCCTCGCCTCACCCTTTCCCTCTCTCGAAAGCTTTCGGGTTCGGGCCGTTCGTCCGCCTCTCCCTCTTCCAAGCCTGCTCTTTCTCCTCTCAAAATCACGAAAAGCTTTCACCCCGATTGAGAGAGCTTAGGGTTTGCCTTTTGTGTTCGTTCTCTAATCTCCACTTCTATTTATCTTCGAGCCGGCGCCTGCTCGCCTGCTCGCCTGCTCGCCTGCTCGCCTGCTCGGTATCATTGCTTGATTGCTCGTAAGGCTACCGATGTGTCATCTTTGAGTATATTTTCTTTAATATATCATATTTATTTTCAAGTTTGCCTCTCAGCTTGAATTTTCTCAAATTTCTTTTAGATTTATTTATTTATTTTACTGAAACCTAGTTTTTGAAACTTTTAGGAGTGAAATCTCGAATATTACCTCTAGATCTTCTTTTATTTTGGATGAGTTCTGATATTATAATTTTTGTTAAATCCTACTTTTGATAAATCCTAAGGGCACTACTAAAAATTCATGTCAACCCCCAGAAGCACGGCAAAGGTATTAAGAAAACCAAATCATATTTAGTTTCTCTTGTTCACAAAATATGTTAATCTACTGTCCTTGTTAGCAAAGTATTGAAACTACAAAAAACAGAACTATAAGGGCTTTTAAACAAATAGCTTTAATTTTCATTCTCAAGATAAGAATGTCACCATATTTTAATCTCTTATGTCCTTATATAGCTCATTGATAATAGTCCTGAACATATCAAACTCTAGGTGTTTGATATGTTAATCCAAAGAAATTATGTGGCAGGTATTGTAGAAGATTGAAACAACATTATAAGGTTACTAGTGAAAAGAATGAATTTTTCTCAACCCTTTGCTCTTTATACAGATTTAAGCTTGTAAGCATTAATGTTATAAAGCTTACTTCCTCCAGAATTTACTAAATCCATGATTTATTTTACAATGGGATTTAAGATTGTATGAAAATTTATGTGGCTCTAAGTTTAGATGTGAGAAATGTAAATATTAAAGAATTGTGTGCTATGTATGTAAATGCCCCGTGAATTTATTTTGAGAATTTTGAAACCCATCATGATCAAATTTTGCACATATATTGTCAACAAAATTTTCTTTAGAATCTGCAAAAATAGTTGTTCGGGATCCAATTAATTCAAAAGCTGAAGCAAAGCCACATACTTTGAAGATTTTCAGCCGTAAATCTTCATAAATATGGCCCTAAAAGACATGATTTTAATTTACAAAACAGTAGACATTGAAAAAAAAAAAATCCTAAAATGAAGAATGAAGAAATCAATGTTCTAGATGGAATACATATTCTTGATTAAACATTGTAATTTGGTGGAATCCAATTTTTGTTCTATGGTGATCTTTGGCTTCCTGCCAGCCAACATTTTTGAAGTAGAACCCAAAGTCCAGTCATGTTGAAGCGCATCCGCTGTAATTTGGTGGAATCCAATTTTTGAAGTTCATTAGTTTTTTCTCATGTTGTCTAACTTGAGATATGGAGATTATGATTTTAATTGAATTAATTGGTTTTTTTTTAGTTTTAAATGTAATGGTATTTATTGTTTTTAGTAATTTGGAAATTAATAATTAAATTATTGTCTATTTAACAATTCAAACAATACCAATAAATTTGAAAAATTTCAAACAATTCGAACAATTCGAATAATCCAAACAGTTTGAATAATTCTAACAATTCAAATATTTTAAACAATTCTAACAATTCAAATATTTCAAATAATTCAAATTAATTTCGAACAAATCGAACCTAACATGAACAGTAACTTCACAAACAATTTCGAACACGAACCTATTTCAAACGAACCGAACACGAAAAAAGTTTTGTTCATTTGTATTTGGTTCATTTACACCCCTACTTACTGGGACGTAAGTCAACCGTATAATGTAAACTCACATGTTAAGTAGTACTGCGGCTCAAAAGTATTGCATATCCATCTCACATGGAAAGTGTAATATTTGTTTCCATATAAACATCTCTGTTTACTATTTATGTTAACCTAGCTTGACGAATATAAAAAGAAATTTTTTAAGTTTTAAGGTCCTAGCACACCATAGTACTTAGAGGTAAAGGAAAGCAAAACACAGGAGGAAAAATTTGGTGAGTTCCTTCGAGATAAATGAGGCTCAAGCCTATATGATTTGGGGATCATGGCGATTGTGGTTTTCCAAAATATTTTTTCTACATGATTGTTGTCAATCGGGGATAAGCTACTCCCTATGCTTATGCCTATGCCAAAGGAAGCCTATAATCCATGAATTTGAGGCTTCCCCAATCCCCATGACATTCCAAATAACTTTACCGATCCCCTGAGATGATTGCAGAATTCCACTGGAATATGTCTATCTTCTCGGGATTTTGTGGTTAACCCTTCGTTTCCACTACAATGGTTATAGGTCGCAGTTCACAAAACATTTTAACTTCAATATTGGACAAATAATGGGTAAATAAAGATCGAAAGTTAATCAACAACATTGTCCATAAAAAAACCTTTCCTTTGAAGGTTTCAACCCAAGGATGAAGAAATCCCTCAATAGGTCCCTCTCCCAAACTCCCCTATTTTAGCCTCCAAGCCTTCTCTGATGCACGAGTCCCTTTTAGAAGCCCTAAGATCTAATTTTACAGCAAAAAATATGATTTGTGCCATCAAACTTCTTTCTTAAAGTGTTTTTCGCTCGTTGGCATGGCCACACCCATTTCTGGCAAGGTCATGTCATTCTTTAGCCAGGGTCGGTGTGATTACGCTGTTCTACTGCAACCCATGGCATGACCATGCCATTTTCGTGCGTGTTGACGCCAGTATTGTTCGATCAATGGTGTGGGTACACCGCCTTTAAGCATGATCACACCGCTTCGAGACACTTTCTTGATGTATTTTCTCATTTCATATATTTCGTATTCACTTCATCCACCCCACACAACATTAACAAAATAGCTTTCTCATGCGTAAATATGTGTTAAATAATTAAAATTAGGATGTAAAATGTAGGGAACATGATAGGTAAAATGACTTAAAATTGACACATGTCATCGAGGCATACATAGCTAGGTTAGAAGAATTCAAATACTAGTCTCTTTTCATGCTAATGAGGGTGAATCATTCGTCAGAGTTTGTGAACACCTTCACCCTTTTCGTTTGTATGGGGAACTACGCAGGCATGAGTTGCTCATGCCGATGACTGGAACCTTCCCTTTCTGAAGGTGCATTTCTTTTTCTCGGATGGTCAGTGTGGGCTCATGATCGAGCTCCGAATCAGAAGCACATGGAGTGACCATGAAGGTTGACTAACTTCATCCTTCACCTACAACTCAAATTGAGGGGACCCCCTCCCCGCCCCTCTCGCTTCGGTGTCAGTTGCTTCTAATCAGCTTGATAACCGTTCAACATCTTGGTGTCATACGCCAAATAGGCCTGCACCTAACAAAGAATTTTAACTTTCATCCTGATAAGTACTAATTCACATGATGACAATTATTTGAATTACAATGTACGATACACATATGAAACAAACTAATTATGCACCTTTCGTGTCCTCTCTAGCACAAGCCATCACTGCAGCCTTGGGACAGGCAGGCTTCACTCGGGTTTTCTTCCGGCATCCTGAGCGACAACTGCCACATCTTGTTTAGCCTCCTCAGCATTCGAAGCGACCCAGAGCTTTGTTGTCACTAGATCATACTTCCCCAACTGTTGTACTCGATCAACAATTATCAGATTAAATTATTGAATGACAGAGAAACACCTTCCATCAATCTATGTTCCTTTGTCCCTTATTTGGTATGACATTATCTTCTTCTTCTTCTTGACCACATCTTCTGTTAAGAACACTCTATGTGCCCCAACTCAAGAAAGAACAGCAGAGAAAGAAACACAACTTCCAATTATTTATTTGGTCACACCCAATAATTGAAACATGTCAGCCAATGAAAATTGTACGTAGCTCCTAGGCCAACTTGGAAAGAAAACATGTAACTAAAGAGCTCTCTGGATCACGCTATTCCGGCTCGACCATAGAAGATAACATACATCATGATAGTGGTTATGGAGTTCGACACAATCTTGGTGGAGTGAGGATGACTAAGTAATTGAAGATTGCACGTAACTCATGGCAAGACAATAGTTTCAGACCACATTTGAACTGATCTTGATAAAAATAGAGATCATTCCCATTTTAGCTCATTGCTAGGTTGTTTTATCAAATAGCCCAGAGCTTGATAGCGGGATCCAAGATGCAAGTATGATCTAACAGGAGACCTCTTCCGGTGTCATGATTGACCGCTCAGGCGAGATGATCGACTCGAAATTCTTAGGAGCATAATTTGAAGCTTTTAGAACAAAACACAGAGTATCAAACCACAAAGCTAAGTAAGAAGAAACAAGGAGAGCAAAAGAGAAGAAAAATAGTGTGATTTAATCCATATATATAGTGTAACGACAGAAATTGGACTGTAGTACAGAGGTAAAAATGAAACAATATAGTTATTTATAAAAACACTTTGTCATAAATATTACGTCAACATATGATTAGAGAAGAAAATAATACTTTGTTTTGAAATTAAGCATTGTAAATTATATTTGAAAATTATTTTGATAGGAAGTACTTTACAAGAAAATAATGAGCAACTTCGGTCGAGATATATCCCTTCCAAAGTAGCCTCTTATACAAGACTTCTTCCCTAAATTTAAATTGATCCGTCTAGGCTTAAATCCAGAGAATATAGCATGTAGCCCGAATGTTCAATTGTTCGAGATGAAGGATAAACCACCCCTCCTGCAACTCGCGTATCTCCTCCTCTCGCTTGATCCCAGCAACTTGAATGAAGGAATCCTCAAATCTCGTCTAGGTGGCGAGCAAACGATCTAGAGGACATTCAACATCCATCAATTATTTCCCTGTGGGCCTCAAGAGGACTGCCAGGGCGATCATCCCTGCCATCCTCACTCCCAACCGATTTCTAGGTTGCCACTACTGGTGCCACAGTCAGACCATGACCAACATTTGCCTAAGACGAGCCTTCAACATGTATTGCCCTGTTGCATCAAAAGACAACATGAGAAAAGAAAAAAAAGTGAACTAAATAAGTAAGACCAAGACTCCTTATACCAAATAGTACATGCAACTCAGTCCATATAATCGACTCACCACCCTCATTAGGTGGCAATAGAGCACACAAATTCTTGTATCCCAGAAGGCAGCAGAATACCAGTAGCCCGAGCCT